AAACACACACTCACTACCAAAATTCACACGGGAAGAAATAGAAAACCTGAACAGACCCATAACGAGTGAAGAAATCGAATCAGTGATCAAAAATCTCCCAACAAATAAGAGCCCTGGACCTGATGGTTTCCCTGGGGAATTCTACCAGACATTTAAAACAGAATTAATCCCAATTCTTCTCAAGCTATTCCAAAAAATAGAAGTCGAAGGAAAACTCCCGGACTCATTTTATGAAGCCAGCATCACTCTGATTCCCAAGCCAGACAGAGATCCAGCAAAAAAAGAGAACTATAGGCCAATATCCTTGATGAATACGGATGCAAAAATTCTCAACAAGATCCTTGCAAATCGAATCCAGCAGCATATCAAAAGAATCATCCACCAAGATCAAGTGGGATTCATTCCTGGGTTACAGGGCTGGTTCAACATTCGCAAATCAATCAATGTGATACATCATATCAATAAAAGAAAAGATAAAAACCATATGATCCTGTCAATAGATGCAGAAAAAGCATTTGACAAAATACAGCATCCCTTCTTAATAAAGACTCTCGAGAAAGTTGGGATAGAAGGAACCTACTTAAACATCATCAAAGCCATCTATGAGAAGCCTTCAGCTAACATCATCCTCAACGGGGAAAAACTGAGAGCTTTCCCCCTGAGATCAGGAACACGACAGGGATGTCCACTCTCACCACTGTTGTTTAACATAGTGCTGGAAGTCCTAGCATCAGCCATCAGACAACAAAAGGAAATCAAAGGCATCAGAATTGGCAAAGAGGAAGTCAAACTTTCACTCTTCGCAGATGACATGATACTCTACATAGAAAACCCGACAGACTCCACCAGAAGCCTACTAGAACTGATCCAAGAATTCAGCCAAGTTGCAGGGTACAAAATCAACGTACAGAAATCGGTTGCATTTTTATACACCAACAATGAAGCAACAGAAAGAGAAATCAAGAAACTGATCCCATTCACAATTACACAAAAAACCATAAAGTACCTAGGAATAAACCTAACCAAGGATATAAGAGATTTGTATGATGAAAACTATAGAAAACTTATGAAGGAAATTGAAGAAGACACAAAGAAATGGAAAAACATTCCATGCTTTTTATATAAATATAGTTAAAATGTCTTACTACCCAATGCAATCTACACATTCAATGTAATCTCAATCAAAATTGCACCAGCATACTTCTCAAAACTAGAACAAACTATCCTAAAATTTGTATGGAACCATAAAAGACCCCAAATAGCCAAAGTAATACTAAAGAATAATACCAAAATGGGTGGTATCACCATCCCAGACTTTAGCCTCTGCTACAAAGCTGTCATCATCAAGACAGTATGGTATTGGCACAAAACAGACACATAGACCAATGGAACAGAATTGAGAACTCAGAAGTGGACCCAGAAGTGTACAGCCAACTAATCTTTGACAAAGCAGGAAAGAATATCCAATGGAAAAAAGACAGCCTCTTTAGCAGATGGTGCTGGGAGGACTGGACAGCAACATGCATGAAGAATGAAACTAGATCATTTTCTCACACCATACACAAAAATATAATCAAAATGGATAAAGGACCTGAACGTTAGACAGGAAACCATCAAAACCCTAGAGGAGAAAGCTGGAAACAACGCCCTTGACATCCACTGCAGCAATTTCTTACATGACACATCCCCAAAAGCAAAAGAATCAAGAGCAAAATAAACTGTTGGGACCTCATCAAGATTAAAAGCTTCTGCACCGCAAACGAAACAATCCATAAAACTAATAGGCAACCAACGGAATGGGAAAAGATAGTTGCAAATGACATATCAGATAAAGGGTTAATATCCAAAATCTATAAAGAACTCACCAAACTCCACACCCAAAAAGCAAACAACCCAGCGAAGAAATGGGTAGATGAACAGACACTTCTCCAAAGAGGACATCCAGATGGCCAACAGACACATGAAACGATCACTCCTCATCAGGGAAATACAAATCAAAACCACACTGAGATACCACCTCATGCCAGTCAGAGTGGCTAAAATGAGCAAATCAGAGAACTCTAGATGCTGGTGAGGATGTGGAGAAATGGGCACCCTCCTACACTGCTGGTGGGAATGTAAACTGGTACAGCCCCTCTGGAAAACAGTGTGGAGGTTCCTCAAAAAGTTAACAATAGAACTCCCCTATGACCCAGCAATAGCACTGCTAGGAATTTACCCAAGGGATACAGGAGTGCTGATGAATAGGAGCACATGGACCCCAATATTCATAGCAGCACTCTCAACAATAGCCAAAACATTTAAAGAGCCTAAGTGTCCATCAACAGACGAATTGGTCAAGAAGATGTGGTTTATCTATACGATGGAATACTACATGGCAATGAGAAAGAATGAAATCTGGCCATGTGTAGCAACCTGGATGGACCTTGAGGGTGTTATGCTGAGCAAAATAAGTCAGGCAGAGAAGGACAAATATCATATGTTTGCACGTATAGGAGGAACTTAACAGAGGACCGTGGGGGAGAAGAATTGGGGAAATAGTGGGGGAGAGGGAGAGAGGCAAACTATGAAAGACTTTTGAATACTGAGAACAAACTGAGGACTGATGGGTGTGGTGGGGTGGAGGGAGTTGTGCATGGAGGAAGGCACTTCTGGGGATGAGCATGGGTGTTATATGGAAACCAACTTGACAATAAACTATTTGTAAAAAATTTAAAAAAATGAGTTAGGAGTGCTCCCATATTTTCTCTTCTGGAGAACTTTGTGTAAGATGGACATTATGCTGCCTTTAATGTTTAGAAAATTTCACAGTTAAGACCATCTACTCATGAATTTTACATGTGGGAAGAATTCTATTTCTGGATTTAGTATCTATAATAGTTATAGTCTTTTAATATTTCCTATTTCTTATCTCTATTTGGTTAGCATTTTTTGCTAGTTACTTTCTGCTTCAACTAACATTTGAAATTTGTAAGCCTAAATTCTACATAATATACATAATATTCTCTTAGCTTTAACCTCCCTTTCTTATCCAGCTGTTGATTCTTTGTGCTCTTTGTTCTGTGTTCTTAGTCATTCTTCCAAGAGATTATCATTTTTTTAAAACTTCTCAAAGACCCTACATTAGGACTGCCCAAGAGCATATGATTCTTAAATTCTAGAATGATCTTGACCAGAAAAGGCTAGCCCAGTTTGGCTAGTCATATGCTTAGATATATGTTTTCAACTGTGGGATTCAATACAAATGCTTCAATTTATGTAGAGAAATGCAAGTACTTTGAACAGTAGGCAGCATAAATAAAGGCATGGACAACCTGAAGACAGAGCAGAAGACATGATTCACTGTCTAAAAGCCATCTGGATATGCCTAATGAAGAGTCAGATGCATGGGAAAAAGTAATCTCAATTTGTTTGCAGGATTATGTTTAGGAGTAACAATAGGCTTTTTAGTAGGATTCTCTAAAGTTTCTCAAAAACAGTTAATTCCAAACATATACTGTGGAAACTGTACTGAACAATCTGATAAACTGATAAGAAATTGACATTAAAGCTATTCACAGTGTATTGGTGTATGATGAACTACAGACTAATAGAGTATTTTAAGACACTATATTAGAAAGCAAGTTTGAACACGGAGACTTAATGCATGATTGTGTAACAGCTGCTGTGAATATTAATAATACTGCTTAATGACTTTTGTTTTCCCATGGCATGTTCAAAAATTGTTTTAAATTAATTTTTAAAATGACTGTTCCTTGTGCTTTTTAGCAGTTTGAGCACGACATTAATTCAGTTTACCCTGATGAGCTAATACCTTTATAAATGCAAGTATGCAACCCTTCACAGGAACACCTAATTAAACAGTGTACCTCTTCTTGGGGTTGTGTTTTAACAATCAAAGATGTGTTTCAAGGATTAAATAATAGGGAGTGTGTTTACTTTTAAAATTGCAATCAATGATGCCAAATTTTGATTCTAAATATTAAGTTATTTAACTTTATAAGGATTTGTACTGCGCTGGTCTGTTTAGTGTCTGGTATCTTCAAGATGAGTTAAACATTGATGCTTTTAGCATTTTATAATCCTAGATCATGCAAAACCGAAAATGGAAAAGCTTCTGGGGAAAGTGACTTCTATTCTGAGCCAATCAGTAGTTTTCACACTGATCTGTTTCAGGTTTGATAGATCTAATTTCCCATGTATACCATTTATTTTTAACATGCTCTTAGGATTTTGAACCCTGCTACCTAACATTTGGATAATTTAAACTGGCTTTGTACACAATAAAAAAGGATTCCTTTAAAATATGACTTTAATAAATTTTACTACTCTTTCTATAATATATGTAGAGCACTGATTTATTTATTTTGGAGTTAGAGATATTGTGGGAAATATTTATTTTGACTATTGAAAATACAGAGTTAAGTTTGAAAGTCCTTCAATAGTGGATCCAAACATGTATTAATAGAAACTAGATACTAATGTCTGTATTTCAGTGTAAAAAAGAAATCTGTCTTTAGTTATAGGACATAAATAATATGTGAACATAGATTAGCATGTGTGTTTTAAAATGTAGACTAATTTTTGAAGATAGTTTATATAATTATGACCAAAAGTTCAATAGTGTCTGTTATGAATACTTAGTAGGTGCTAGCATTGCCCTAGATATCTTTCAGACATTTTCCTATATAATTATTGTCACTGCATATATCACATATGTCACATATGTATATTATCACATATTACATATATGCATTAGCCATATTGAGAAAGGCAGCCTTTTAATCACCTTTTGCCACGTATGAATGGGCTTTGGACCCAGAATACTTTCTTACCAAGGGATGAAGAATCCTTACAGTTTGTGCTAGGCTTGTCAGCTTGTGTGGGAATATCTTTCCCTATTTTGGACCCAGTGTGTGTTCCTTTGTTATGTTTAAGGAAATGCATCATGTGGCATCTGTCCAGTCTCACTGCTCTATCTCTATATCTGTCCTCTGCAGGTAGGAGACAGGATCCTTGGTTCTGTAGCAGCACTAAGATAGAAATATGGGACTTGCTGACTGCAGGGGACCAGCGCTCACTAATGAAGCTGACCTGCCTCTGTCTCTTCTCTATGTGAGTAAAACATAGTTCCATACCCCGTGCTTGACCTGTTGCATTTTCCTTGGCAATTCAGATACCCAGATGAGATGGGCAAAAGTGTTCTGACTTCTACTCCTGGTGATTGGTAACCGGTGATAATGTGCTTGACAGTCCACATTATACAACTGAAACAACCAGGGCTTAGAATGTTGGGAGACAGTTCTTCATAGTACACATAGTATCAGCTCATATTCCAGGTTATTTTTTAAAGGATGTTTGTTTAGCAAAGTGCATTGGAAGATATTAATAGCGTCTTGCACCAAGGTAAAGGGCAAGATTTCCCCCCACTGAACAGTATATTTATTATAGTATCTTTTTGTGTTTAACAATTTAGCTAACAGACTCTTTTAAAATATTGGCATCTCCTAAGCTTGTAGTTTCTCAAAAGGCAACCCAGTGTGTGCCCAGCATCTACATGAGCCTGCCATGGGATCTGAGGGACAAGGGGGAATTGAAGTGAGCATAGAACCATACTGATTTCTGTCCCATTAATAATGAAGTTCTTTGTCTATGATCCAGTTGTTTCATCTCTCTACCAGAATCTATAACACTGCTGACGGCAAACTTGTTGGCTTGCAAGTGTGGTAAAATGTTAGACTCTTCACAGTTCTTGGCAAAGGAAAATTAATTATCTTGCCAACAACAATGTAGACAATGAGTAGCAAAGCTTTTTGGTATTTGAGACCAGATTGGTCTCCTAAAGTTAGCCTACTATTTGCCTTTCTAATAGCAGGAGGCTTCAACATAGAAGATGTAGTGTTGCACAAACTTAAATCTGCTCCTTTTGCAATATTGCTTTTTGCTAAACAGAAGTTTATTTATTTTTATATCAAAGTTATCAGGGGCGCCTGTGTGGCTTAGTCGGTTAAGCGTCCGACTTGCGCTTGGGTCATGATCTCGCGGTTCGTGGGTTCAAGCCCCGCGTCGGGCTCTGTGCTGACTGCCAGCTCAGAGCCTGGAGCCTGTTTCAGTCTGTGACTCCCTCTCTCTCTGACCCTCCCCTGCTCACGCTGTCTCTCTCTCCTAGAAATAAATAAAACATTAAAAAAAAAAGTTATCAGTCATCTTTCTTCATAGCTTCAGGATTTTGTGTCATAGTTAGAAAGTCTTTGTCACACCTAGGTCATAAATCATTTACCTTTGTTTTGTCTTAGTAATTTCATGTTTTAATGATTCAGATATAAATCATAAGACCATCTGGCATTTTCCCTGGTATATACTGTTAGATCCTGATAAAACCTTGTTTGTTTGGTTTTTCTGTTTGTTTCGTTTTTCCAAGTGCTCATCCGTTTTTTCTGAAACAAATTTTCTTGTAGTGCATCATCTTCCCAATGATTTAACATGAGAACTTTATCAAATATTAAAATCTCTTGTTCATTTAGTTAATTTCTACATACATACTGTGCCCATTAACATAATGTCAGTATCACTATTAATTTCTGAGGCTCTTGAATATATGTGTTTGTGTTTATTTTTTTGAGAGACAGAGAGAGAATGTTGGAGGGGCCTAGAGAGAGCAGAGAGAGAATTACTGGGCTCTATCTAATCCTGAGATCATGTTCTGAGTGGAAATCAAGATAGGACTCTTAACCAACTAAGCCACCCAGGAGCCCCGCTAGAGTATATTTTAATATTTAATCACATTGCTTTTTTTTCAGATTTTTTTTGCCATTATTTTACTTTTCATGACTTAAAGTCACCTAAAAATTACTTTTTCATGTTTAAAAACAAAAGCTACGAGTGGAAATTCTTACCTCAATGCTCACCACAGCTACCGAATATTTCATATTTTACTATTGAGAGCACTGTTTGCTATTTATAAGTTTCATGTTCTTTATCAGTTCCCTTCTTTGCCTAGTTTGCTGAGCATTTTTATCATGCATGGGTGTTGATTTTTGTTAAAGGGCTTTTCTTATACTCCTTTATTTTTCCAATGTTTTATAGTATTCATTAACCACCTTCACAGATTTATTTTGAAAGTTAAATCAATCTTGCATTTCTAAGATGAATTCTTTTCATTTGTGATATATTATCATAGACAAATGGATAGATAGATGATAAATGCTAGATAGAGAGATGGGCAGATAGATAGACAGATTAGATTTGATTCACTAATTTTGATCCATGTTCATGAGAGAAGTGGTAACTGCTGAGGGACCATAAGGTAAACTGAGGGCAAAGCACAAGTTAGCACACGTCCTTCCTCTCAGGTGGGATATGTGTGATATTCCTCAGGCACTCGTGGCTGCCCAAGAACAAAGGAAAGGAAGGAAAACAAATTGTTAACTGATGGAGATCACAGTCACACAGGACACGACTCTCCATCAGTTTACAATTATCTTAGTAAATTGTAAGAAAAAGGCAATCTTATCAGTGAGTTCAGGACATGCCACTCCAAAGTATGCTACTTTGATATATTGATTTTTTTTAAGCTATAGCCACTTGAAAAACAGCAAATTCAGGGTAGGGCTTTCTCTGAATTCTTCTTATCTGCCTAAAGACTGATCTTCTGAAAGGAACTCCATTGTCAGAAATCCTCTACCTGGGAATTTCATTAACCAGAGAAGATTCACTCTTATCATAGGAAGGAGACTAGAAGGTGTCATCACCACCAGACAAAGTGGGTCATAAGCCATCCTATCTGCTATTTATTCTGCTAAGGGCCCCTTCATCTTTCCCCTAAATTATTTATTCTCCCCTAAGAGGTCTATGCATGCCACCCTCCCCTTTCCTTATTAAGATATTTAAGTTTAATTCTAAGCTATGTGGGGGAGTTACTTGTTTTTCTGAGGTATCTACTATGTATACATGAAGTTTACATGTTAATTGATAAAGTTTTGGGGTGATGGTGGGATAGTCTGGAGCCTATGACCAAGAAAGAATTCTTGAAGACGTCTTTGATGCAAAATGTGATTTTATTAAAGCATGGGGACAGGACCCATGGGCAGGAAGAACTGTACTGGGATTGTGATGGGTAGCTCATTATATACCCTCAGGATGGAAGGGGGTCAGAGATACAATAAGTTTTGGAAGCAAGGTTTCTAGGACCTTAAGGGGCTAGCTGTTGCTAGGAAAATGCCATTTATTACCATTTAATAAAACCTCAGTCATGAAACCCTTCAGATGTATATCAGAGGACCATAAACTTGGAGTATGATTGCCAGCATATATCTCAGGGCAGTTGAAATAAAGGAAGTTGACTTACAGGATCCTCTAGGTTGGGATAATGTTAAGCTAAGGTTTTCTTTTGCCTCTAGCAGAGTGTCGTCATTAAAGCACCTGAGCTTCTAGAAGGAGGTCACCCTGCCCTTTTCAAGGACTTGTCCGTGGACTGTAAGCAGTAAGGGAATTTAATTTTTCATTTGCCTTAGTTTCCCACATTACCATGGCAAGAATTTAAACCCCTTTCCTTTGTTGTTGGGTAGCCAGGAGTATCCAAGGAGTATCACACATATTCTACTCTGGGTGGGAGGATGCCAGCTTGTGCTCTAGCCCTCAGCCTGCCTCATGTTCCTCATCATTAATAAACTGTTTTCTGTTACTAATCTATCTTTTATTACAGGGATCTCAGCTAAGAACTCAGGAGGGTACAGGGAAAGTTATTTTTTCCTCACCTATATAAAGCAGATTTTACATGAAATTTTAAATTTATGTAGTTTTGGAATCATTTGTTTCATCAGCCAAGAAATTTTTTTTCCTAAAATTAAAAAGTTCTTTCATCTCCTAACATCAGTACTCATAATAGTGATATTTCCATTTATTACATTTTTACAGGACACTTAGTATGCTAGTAAGTTTCTCTCCTATCCTCTTCAGAAGGATTTGTTTGCCTCTTTCAAAGATTTTAAAACTTCCGTGTATCATTTTGCTACCCTGTTTTACACTCAGAGAAAGTCTCAGCATTTTAAATACTCTTTAATTGCTATTTATATAAGAAAGCTACATAAATATCTGTCTAAAATCAGTGTAACTGCTGATAATGAGTATTGCTTTGTTGCATACACTTAAAAAGATTTAATTTCCAAAGTACTCTGGCTACAGAGCTCTTTTGGCAGTTAAAGTACTTGCTGTTTTTATAAGAATGTTATCATATTCCATATGCAAGAAGATTGACAAATTGCAAATTATCAAATCTATAGTGTTGTGTTGCAAAATAAGCTGCTAAAGAAATATGATCAGCTAATTATGTCTAATGACTGAAAACAAAACACCTCCTCCAAACAGAAAGTATTAGGAAGGGATCCTTTTTCTTTCTTTCTGTTTGTCTCTCTCTCTCTCTCTTTTTAAAAATTAAAAACTTTTTTTTTTGCCACTTGTGCCTTCTTAGTAAGAAGGCTGTTTTCCCTAAAACTTATTCTTTGTTTGCTTAGCAAGCTGATACCCACTGATAAAACAGCTTTACTTCCAAGTGATAAATTATCTTAATTAACTGTAATTGTTTGTAGACAGTTTTATGCAAATAGAGACATTTAAGAAATAGAAACATAAAGATTTAATAGGGAGGATGAGCAAGAGCCTGAGGAGAAATAAAATTTTTCATTCTTTTTGAAGTTTAAAATTGATGATAATGTTGAAGATAACAAAGATGGAGGGCTGAAAAAGAAAAAAAAAGAAACTGCATGACTAGGGATCCAAACTTTGGATATTGAAGAAAATCAAAGAAAACATACATAGCTTGCTCTTTGGTATGTGTGATTCTGAAACAGTTTTCACTCAGATATATCAATATTTGTGTCTACATATGTTTTTTTTTAACATTTTGTTTCCTGGAATTGTGGCTAAACAGTTTACACTAGATATTCAAAGTACATTAGAAGCGATTTCACAACACTCTGCTGCCAGGTTGCATTCTTTTGAGAGTTTAATTACATTCACTTCCTAAGGTCAATGCATTTCTTTTCCATATATTTAAAATTGTGATTGGCAGTGTTACTCGAAAATACGAATATTTTTAGACAAACAGCTTTCT